CACTTTATTGGGCAGGGCGCGAGCAGGTTATGTGCGTGCCGACAAGGCTGAGCGCGCGACGGGCCAAGGCGATGGTGACGGTCAGGACCACACCGCGTCTAGAGGGGGGGGGGGTAGGAGGGGTATTGGCAGCCAGGTGATAACCGTACCTCCCCCCCCCCTCCCGCTCTCATAAGCTTCCCGAAGACTTCCCGCGCACTTTGTGTCCCGCTCGGTTTCGGCTAGTCGATTAACTTTATTATGGGGTGTTTGGTTTTTCGCACATATATTGCCCGCGTGGGTGCGGCTCAAGACGATAGCTTACCGCCACACGTGGTCGTCACATGGCCGGGAGCGTGACAACAATGCGGCGGCCACGTGACGTTACGACGGCGACTACGTACCGCTTTGCTGCTGTGTGTCAAAATCGATGGGTCACCGTCGTCGTCGCTTCCGCGAGGGTGTGTTTAGTTACAAGTGTACAGCCGAAGGGGCGATGTATCGATAAAAACGCACTGGGGTCGTCCAGGAAGTGATGCGCTCGCTCGCTTTCCTCGGCTCGGCGCCTGCGAGAGTCAGGGTAGGCCACCCTGCAGTACATGCGTGCACAGCAGACAAGATGTTGCCTACCTGTCAGGCGCTAGCCTGCTGAGGCTCTTCATAGGCAATTTCGAAAACGGCGGAATGACTGACGTACTTTCTGGACGATTCCTTAACCGTCCACAGGCCGACTGGCTGTCATTGCCTTTACTACTTCCGTTACATCTCCGGTCAATCGAGGATTTAGGGTACCCTATTGAAGGGGTGGACAGGGTATCGTGTGTCATTTGGTTCGTTGTAGGAGCAAAGAAAGACCTCTTTTAGACGTAATACATATGTAATAAACGAACTATACACAACAGCTTTTTACAAGAAATTTCCCAAAATTTTGCCATGAGTTTTACTTTGCTCTTTTGCTTTCTCTCTCTCTCTCTCTCTCTCTCTTTCGCTCTCTCTTTCTCTCACACTCTCTCTCTATTTCTCTCTCCCCAACTACCTTACACATCACACACACACACACACACTTCTTCATCTTTCCCTCTCTAATTTCCTTGCAACCGAAAGAAGAAAGAAGATCTAGGCATAAATTAGGCCCAATTTACAATTGCAGAAGTAAATACAGTACCTAGGCACGTTAATTGTGTAAATAGGAATCAACGACATTAATAAAATAGGTTGAGCTGTAATTTCGAAAGCATCCAATACGACAGATATCTACACATATTTAACAAATGACAATAACAACAAAAAGAAAGATGATGAAATCTCTATCACACATGCCAATTACCTTTAAAAAATGAAAAAAAAATCAAACAACAATTTTTGCTAATAGTGTTACAATATCCAACAAAGTAAAGTGAATGAGTCTATGAAAACATTTTATAAAGACTTGTTTTCTTGTGAATTCCACAATACGAGCGATATTCTTTTCCTTGGTGGAGGAAGATCGTTCGCTTACAGACCCCCCCACAGTCAGCCAAGCCACCACCCGAGACTTTTTTGGGGAAGGAACGCTCCGTCGGGACTTTTTCTTTTAAAATAAATAACAATAACAAAGACGCAAAATTTGGAACAGTGCATATAAGTGTTTTAGTTTTTGTACATGTCGCAGAGCACCTTCTCCATGGGGGTGCTGCCGATGGTGCGCTGGAAGAAGATGGCCTCGATGCGGAGCGTGCCGACGGCCCGGAGCAGCGGCAGCATCAGCAGCAGGCGGCCGAAGCGCGCCGCCTGGCCCGGGTGGTGCGAGCGCGTGTGCTGGCCCAGCATCACCTGCGCCTGGTCCTGGAGGTTCTCCACCTGGCCGGGGTCCTTGAGGCCGCGCGTCTCTGCAGAAAGGGGGAAATCGAAGACGAATTTTATTGCACCGAAAAAAAAACGAGTTAACTTAAAAATGGAAAGGATAACTATTTATTCAGCTATGTAGCTAAAATTTAGCTACTGTTGTAAAACAAATGTCGGTCTTGTGTACAAATTTAGCTGTTCAGCTACATAGCTAAACTTTGAGCTACAAAGCTAAATAATAGTTATCTCCGACCGAGCGATAGGTTTAATTACACAGCAAATTGTTTTAGCTAGATAGCTAAAATTTTGCAGCATAGCCAATTTTTGTGGCGTAAATATTCCTTTTTTTTTTTTTGCGAAGAAGCTAAATTTTTAGGTACATCCCTTCCTTTCGCTATATACCTAACATTTTTTTCTGTGTTAATTGTTCCATTTTTGATCTGATCTCCGTTAGTTTGTAAAAGAAAACCGTCTGACGTGCCTGTCGTCGGCCCCATGGACGCATTATGTTGGGAAAGAGAGGGTGGCATGCCTGCTCTGCTTACCTGACCGAAACAGGACGATGGCCTTGAGGCACGCGAACTCGGCCGGGTCGACGGCGTGCGCCTTGAACCGGAGGAGGGTGTCGTTGAGCACGCGGACGTCGGCGGCGGTGCCGGCGGGCGGGCTGGAGCCGGAGCCCTTGCCGTTGAGGGCCTGGTGCTCCTGCGGCGAGAAGAGCGGCGCGTGCTCCAGCGGCAGGCACCACTGCACGGCGTTGAGCAGGAACAGCTCGGACCAGCACTCCTCCAGCAGGATCACCTGTGCGGCAGCAAGAAAAAGACGTGTATGAGATACCCGATCAAAAAATTGGTTTTTTTGTTGTTGTTTTTTTGCGACCATAGCGCCATCAGACAGAAGCGACATGGTTTTGAGAATCTTAACACTAAAGAGGCTGGAATGATGTGTGTCACGAAAAGGACGTGTATTTCAGTTTATTGTGCAATCTTACTAAACCATAGGACTTAAACATCACTTCTGACGACTCCATCGTATTCCTCGTAAAATTTCCTACCAAACGAGCCTTTGTGTGATTGGTAGTCCATCCCCGTCGTACATCTCTAAATCGTTGATTATTTCTATACTATTTGAATTCGGAACCCTATCACATCTATGCTTGTTCGATCGGAAATTGTACAAGTAATCCGGTGGACCCATACCATAGAAGTGAAATTCAAGCTCGGCTTTTGATACCAATGGACAAAAACTGAAAATACACGCGTTATAACAACACAGTTAAGACAGGCCGTAATTCCGTCGACGCGCGCACCTGGTCTCTGAAGGGCAGGCTGGCGAAGGAGGGGAGGTTCTTGGCCCACTTGACGGCCATGAAGAGCAGGCGCGCCGCCGTCTCGTGCACCGTCTCGTGCATGGGCGGGTACAGCGGCAGCCCCATGGGCGGCGACACCATGCTGCCGAGGCCGCCGCCACCGAGGCCGCCGTGTCCGAGCCCGTTGGCCGCGCCGCCGCCGCCGCCGTCGCCGCGCTCGCTGCCCAGCGAGCCCTGGCCGCCGCTGGGCGAGGCCGACTCCGAGTTGTGGTGGTGGTGCCGGTTGTCGGCCGGCAGCGTGTCCTCGTTGGTCACGTCGATGCTGTCGTCTGCAAACAGCAAAAGCAGCGCGGGGCCTCTCAAACACTTGCGCTCGCGGACACCAGGCTCGTTCCCCTCTCGTCCTCAATAGTGCCCCCCCCCCCCCCAACCTCGGCCAAAGCCGGAGCAAAGGGGCTCAGGACGGCTCAGGACTGCCGATCCCTCCCGCTGTCCCCGGAAAGCAAAATTCCAAATCGCGTCGTGTTCGGTTTGTCTCCCCTCTCCCCTCCCATCCCTTCCTCTCCCTTGGCCCGCTTCGACCTCTTCGCTGTCCTCTGGAGACCAACAATTCAATCAGACGCCGGGACAAGAGGGCTTTAGGGAGGGGAGGGCAGCCCCTCAGAAACCCGCCCCGCCCCGCCCGGCACCACCCCGCCCCGCGCGGCCACAAAGAGACAACCCCCTGAGCCAGCGATCCTCTTCGCCGAGCAGAGGAAGCGACTTTCACCGACGCCGCCCCGCCCCGCCCCGCTCTGCCCGCGAGGCGCCCTCTCCTCTTCCACCTCGGCGCCTGGAAGTGCTTTCTTTCCGGGCCAGCGCCCCGTGCGCGACTCTCTGTCTCTCCCCCTTTTGTGTTTTGCATGGCGAACATTTCTCAACGGCGGCCCGTCTGTGCGTAATCCGCGCGACTCTTAACTAACAAGGGCGGGGCG